GTAGGGGGTCCCACCAACATCTGTTTGGGAACTCCAGGTACAGGATGAAATCTAGAGCTTCCTTGTATCTGGATGTTCACAGTAGGCTCCTTGACTACCATTGGCGCAGTCCCTAGAGTGCGATGTCCTGTGTTTGCCAGAATGGCACAAGTCTTGGTACAGATGGGTGGATTTCCCTGGTTCAGTGACACCTGCAGTTGGCCCTTGCCTTTCCTAGGTTCACTTCAGAGCTTTCTGGAGCCAGGCCTCAGGCTTGAGATGGTACAGAGGCTTCCCAGGGTGTGTCCTACCTCTTGCCAAGGGCCACCCACCTAATCTAGCAAGTGAAAATGCTGGTACCTGACTTCCGTACAGGGGCAACACCCAACAGGTGGAAAACAGGTCTTGGGGCCATGGTGTATGTGATAGAGAGGGTTTGTTTATTTAAAAATGAGAACCAACTTCCCCACCAGGTCGTTCTCTTGCCAGATGGGAGATGCCTTGGTGCAGGATATATACAGATTTTTGATTCAACTCCTGGCTTCCCTAAGAACTACCTGTGGCTGTGACCTTGCATAATTATTTCCCAGTTCTGGGCGGGAGCATTGTCGACTACAAAGTAAAGTGGGATTAGAGATGCCATGCATGCAAAGTAGGGATACTAGACCTCAGCACTGTTAACATTTGGAGCTGGATAATCCTTTTGGGGGGGGGGCTGTCCTGTACACTAGAGGGTGTTTAGCAGCATCTCTGGTCTCCACCCACTAGATACTAGTAGCACATCCTCCCTCAGTTGTGACAACTGAAAATGTCTCCAGTTATCGCCTAATGTCCCCTGGGTTGCAGTGATGTCTGTTTAACAATTACTGATGGAAAGCGCCCAGCACAGTGCCCAGCACTCACTAAGTGGTCTGCTGAGCACAGGCAAGGAGAAAGGGGCTGCGTTTCTTATGGAGCATAGAAGTTTCAGGTTGTCACGGATCTTTGAAGCCCACTTCTGCTTGGCTTAAAACCTGTGTGTGTCCACATGTGTGTCGACAAATCAAAGATCTGGTGGCGGAGGGCAAATTCCAAAAGAGATTCTGACTCACTCTTTTTGTACTATCCTTAACACTGCTCATCTTCAAGATGAGCTGAGATCACCCCTCCTTATTTTAGATGGAATACACACCCTTTCTCTCTCTTCCTGCTTCACTGACAGCTATATTTTCTGCCTAAGCTATTTATGCAATGATGGCTTCTTAACTTGTGTCCCCATATCTAATGATATTCTGCCATAGTCATGCAGAAAACTTTTTTCTGCAAAGGACCAAATAGTAAATAGTTTAGGATTTGTGGGCCATGCAGTCTCTGTCACAACTATTCAACTCTACTGTTATAGCACAAAAGCAGCCATAGGCAATATGTCAACAAATGAGCATGGCTGTGTCCCAATAAAACTTTATTGACAAATACAAGCAGTGGGCCAGATTTGCTGCCTGAGTCATTTGCCAATTCCTCTCCTACTCACCCCACCCCACTAATCTCCTGCTGCCAGACTAAGCTTTATAGAGCCCAGAGTTCATTTTTCAGGCATATATTCATTTAGCAAATTATTATCAATGTCTGCCTTGCAGTTAGCAGGCTGCTGGTTCCTGGAGATGTAACAGGAAATGAATCACAGCACCCCAGACTCTGGGAGCTCACAGACAAATAAACAGGCAGCAACAGTGCTTGGGGTTATGTGACATATGACCACAACCTCTGGTAGAGCATTGAAGATGGGCAGCTGACCCAGTTTAAGAGTCAAGGAAGGCTTTCTGGAGGAGGCAGCTTTTGATCTTGACCTGAAGGACAAGACAGGCAAGGGAGTAGGGGAGCCTTTCCAAGCAGAGGGGGACAGTGAACGTGAAGACTTGATAGGGTTGAAAAAATGGAACTCTACTTCTCCCTTAAGTGATCATAGGCTTCCTGAGAGCCAAGCCCTTCTTCCAATAGAGAGAGAGAGCTAGCAGGGAGATCCTAGCAGAGAGCCCTTGCTTTTTTGCAGGAGCTTGTGGGACTGAGTCACTCTTCCTGAGATTACCCCACAGTAATGAAAGGCCACCTGTGTTGCTGGGGAAAGCACTCATATTTTCTGGTGGAGGTAGAGGAGGGAACCCTTCGTCTTTGTGTGACCGTGTCTGTATCATTTGTTGCTTATGTGATCACTATGCACTCCCTATGAGGCCACACCTGGAGTTTTCACAAATCTATCTTTCAGTCCAGAGATGGGTCAGATGGAAGGTCAGGGAGGCTGAAACAGACCTTTGGGCAGAAGCCGACTGTGACACAACAAATTTCCCTTTGGACAGTTCTCAAGATCTCAGCATTTCTGGGTCTTCTCATCAGCCACAGAAAAGTGTCATTGCTATGGAATATGTTCTTTGAATAGCCCAGGAAAAGAAGAAGATGGTGGTTGAGTTATAAAGCAACAGAGGACTTTTTTTCTTTTTTGTATTAGTCAAGGTCCTTTTGGTAGTTAAGTAACAGAAAAGCTTGCATGAAAAAATACAACAAAGGGTACAAAGTTTCAGTTTTACAAGATGAATAAATTCTGGGGATCTAAGTACAGCAAGAGAATGGTAGTTAAAAATATTATATCGTATACTTGAAATGTGCTAAGACGACAGATCTTAAATTAAATCTCACCACACATGCGCGCACATGCAAATGGTAACTATGTAGAGGTTTTAGATATGTTAATTAGCTGAAATGTTGTGATCATTTCACGACATATACATCAACCAAAACATTAAGTTATGTACCTTAAATACATACCATTTTTACATTAATAATATCTCAATAAAGCTGTTAAAAAGTAAGACATTTCCTGACGTGTAATTAAAACAAGCAGGGGTGCTACTAACTGCAGGTAAAGCTGGATCCAAGATTTCAAATGATGTCACCAGGCCTCAGTTGAAACCTTTCTATTTCTCAATTTCATGGCTCCATGTTCCCCTGGGTTGGCTTCACCTGTAGGCAGGTCGTCTTCAAGTGGCAGTTCTTGGCAGCTCCAGGCTTAGATTATTTTTGCAGCTGCCAATCACCGTGGAAAGAAAACTTCTTCCTCCAAGCTGAAGCAAAATCCCAGAGTAACTAGGACTCTTTGCAATGACTAGGGCTTACCTTACTAACTGGTTCACTAGTTAGATGGGCATGAACCAAATCTCTGTGATAGTGGTAGCGGAACCTTCTGATTGCCCAGGCTGGGGTCACATGACTGTAGCTAGCAGTAACCAGAGGCTATATTCAGCTACATCTGCACCATGAGGCCAAAAGCAGGAGTGTCCCCCAAAAGGAAACAGGGGTGTTCTCCTTGTAGAAGCTGATAGGCAATGACAATAAATGCCCTCTGTGATTTCCCAAGGACAGGCAGGATTAAAAATTCATGTATAGCGATCCAGCCTTGGCATAGGCAGACCCTCCACAGCCTCAAAATCTAGGGAGAAATGTTAGAGAGAGAGAGAGAGAGAGAGAGAGAGAGAGAGAGAGAGAGAGGAGAGAGAGACATTTGTGCATTTTTGTTTCTAGTGGCACAGATATTTGGAGACATTAGTCTGGAGGAGGAAAGAGCCTGATGGGAATGTTTTCACTTGTAAAATGTTTTAAACTTATCCTAAGCTTAGCTCTCCTCAAAGTGTCATCTTTAACATTCTAATTAAGGTCTCCTCCAAACAAACGCACCAGCTCTGTGTGAAACTCTGAGAACAAAGTCCCCCCCACCTCCAGGCCCATGTCATCCTGTTTTTGCTGAGCTCAGGTTGCTTTAGCGCAAAAGGTTCTCAAATGTTGGTGGCGGGTACAGAGGAGATGCGAGCAATTCTGACATTTTTGCCCTAGTATCATTATACGAGGGCTTAGGTCACATTTAATTGACCACAGACAATGGGAGAGGCAGCTATTTGGTGTGCTTAATTCCTAAGCTTTTTTTCTCCCTCTCTCTCTCTTTCTTACCGTGCAATCCCATGTCTTGAGACCATGGAATATTCAAACCTCTGGTTTACAGTTTCTTATGCCTTCTCTCTCTCTCTCTCTCTCTCTCTCTGTGTGTGTGTGTGTGTGTGTGTGTGTGTGTGCGCGCGCGCGCGCGCACATAGGGTGGGAGAGTTACGAGGGTGGAGGTGGAGAGAGAGAGATGTTTCCTGAAACAGAAGCATTTGAATTCAAGTTTTTCTTTTTTTAATTCTTTTGCCTTGACAGTAATTATCATACTGCCTGTTTTGCCTAGATCTGAAGGGTGAATTGTTATATAATACTCTGTGCTTATAAAAAAAAAATAATAATAAACCAGGGGGTTAAGGGGGAGAGGGATTGACTAAGGAGGCTGAGCGTAAAGTCAAACATTTTGCAGAAATGCTTAAAATGGGGATATCACAGAGGACCATCGTTGTCCAAATTAGGCCCTGAATTTTTATTAGCTGCTTTGTATTGACGCTGGGAACACACACACACACAAACACATACACACGCGCCTCACAGACATTGGGACCAGTTAAAGGACCCTCCCCCATTCCATTATGTGAGCAAAGTCACATAAAACTTTGATTAAATTCAAATGCTTGTATGAATCGTCTCTCCTCTCAAGAACACACACATTCAATTTAATCTCTCTCAGCACTTTAAGTATCAAATCAAGGTTCTGCTGTCACTGTAGACAACTAAATGCTCACAACTTCCAAAACGGGAATGAAATCAGAAGGATTTGCCAGAAAAACCCCATCCAGCAGGACAGTCTTTGAATATTAGGCTGGGTGACTTGGGGAAAGTGACCTCATCTTTCTGAGCCTCAGTTTCTGCATCTGTAAAATGGGGGCAAATGATGGTTCCTATTTTCTTGTAGAGTCTGGTGAAGATGACCTGGGATTGGTCCGTCCGAAGCTAGTAGCACTACGCTGGCACCTATAAAGTGTCCGGGGAACAGGAATCCTTGGGTGTCGGGGAAAGGTTCTTCTTGATGCTGCTCATGGATTTATCTTCCTCTCCCGCGTTTGATTTTTCAGGGTAATCAAGAAGCAGCAGCCGCCCCTGACACGATGGCCCAGCCTTACGCTTCGGCCCAGTTCGCTCCCCCCCAGAACGGCATCCCCGCGGAATACACGGCCCCTCACCCCCACCCCGCGCCAGAGTACACGGGCCAGACCACCGTCCCCGAGCACACGTTAAACCTGTACCCTCCCGCCCAGTCGCACTCCGAGCAGAGCGCCGCGGACACGAGCGCGCAGACCGTCTCCGGCACCGCCACAGTAAGTGGGCGCTTTCCCCTGGGGCTTGGCGGGTGCTCTCCAAGGGGGGCAGGCGCCCCCTAGCCCTGGGAATGACAGCGGGTCTCACCTCCATCCACCGAGGGACTCTAGCAAGCAAAGCAACGCCTGAGCCCGTCATCATACCAGCTTACCTAAGTTACCTGATCCACCTGCATCCTTTCCTATTATTGATTCAAATCAACGCATAGTTCATGAACTGCATTTATGTGTACAGGCAAGCATTCGTGTCTTTTCTAGTTCTGTAGTTTTGCTTTTCCGGAATGTCATCCTTATGGATTCTTTTTAAAAAAATTTTAATGGCCTTATGGAGATGTAATTTACATACCATAAAATTCACCTGTTTTAAGTGAACAATCACTGATTTTTAGAATATTTACAGAGTTGTGCGACCATCTCCAAAAACTAATCTTGGAGCATTTCCATCACCCTAAAAACAAATCTTGTAGCTGCCCATTTGCGGCTACTCCACATTCCCACTCCAACCCTCTGAGTTCAGCTTCCTTAACTTCGCCTAATGCTTTGGGAGTCACCCACGACGTCGTGAATATGCTTCTTTTTTGTTGCTGGGACATAGGGTAGGGAGAGGTGTGGACTACAAGGGGCGGCACGAGAGAATTTTGGTGGGTAAGGGAACTGTTCTGTATCTTTATACATCAAGAAGAGTGGATTTCATTGCGTGCAAATGGATTAAAAACAATCAAGCAAACAAACAAAAGACCATTTTATTACCGCCATGAAAGAAAACTAGTGTTATTGGCCATTAATCAAAGATAACCTAAACAAAAATAAGTATATCGAAATTACACAATGTTTGTTTGTGTACTGCGTAAAATAAACATGTATACCACAGGACCTATAGGGACTGCATTCGAGAAAACTTGTTCTGCAGGATTTTTTAGAAGATTGGGCACATGGAGCATCTAGTCTAGAACATTCTGTAGATGCAGGCAATTGTGCCTTCCCCCCCCCTTTGCCCCCCCCCCCCCCCCCCAGTCCTCTAGCCTCTGGAAAACCAGTATTTGTGAAATAAAGTTTGTGAGTTTGAAGTGTGTTACATCTCCTGTAGTAAAAGCAACTGTTGACCAACTTTGCTACTTGTTACCTTGTTCATTTGGAGGATAATTTTGGAGATTTTAAAAATCAATATACACTGTGAAATTTTCTTTTGTTTTCCTCCCTTTTTTATTTATTGTGGTAAAATACGTGTAACATAAAATTTACCATTTTAACTGTTTCAACATACACAATTCAGTAGCATTTAGTACATTCACAGTGTAGTGCAATCACCACCACTATCTAGTTCTAGAATATTTCCATCACCCCAAAGGAAACCCCATACCCATTAAGCAGATACTCCCCCTTTCCTTCCCCCATTTCCTGGCAACCACCCGTCTGCTTTCTGGTATGGATTTGCCTTTTCTGCATATTTCATAAAAATGGAATTCTAAAATATATGGCCTTTTATGTCTGGCTTCTTTCACTTAGCACACTGTTGTCAAGGTTTATTCATGTTGAATATTCTTTTGTATAGATAGACCACATTTTGCTTATCCATTCATCTACCAATGGACATTTGGGTTCTACCTTTTAGCTGTTGTGAACAGTGCTGCTGTACCTCAGGATTGGGCTCATTAAATGGGTTTGCTGGTTTAGCAGGTGATTTTTGTTGTGTTAGTGACCAGGTGGTTAACGGATTGTAGCGAACGGATCGTTGTTTATTGTTGGTTGGTTATTTTGTGTAAATCAACAGTGGTAGGCACTGGGTAGGTTGTTTTTGGAATAAAAAATGCTCCAATCAGACATTATCTATTAAGCTAACTACTGTGAAAGTTTCATTCATTCATTCATTCATTCATTCATTCATTTAAAAATATTTATTAAGAGTCTACTAGGGTTAGGAATCATACTCAGTGGTGTGGTTAAACCAAGCAGACATGATCTTTCTCTCTTGTAACTTAGTATGAGAGGCAAAGTGAGCATGTGACAAACAGCTCTAGAACCACAAGTTATGATACATGCTCTTAAGGAAAATATAGGTGCCATGGGAAGATAAGAAACAGGGGTTCTACCTGCAAATGAGTAGTCTGGGAACATTTCTTCAATGAGATGATATTTAAGGCAAGAAAACAATGTTCTCCAGTCAAAGAGGACATCAAAGTCAATGGTCCAGAGGTTGAAAAGAGCCTGGCTCAAAAGAAGACAGTGTGTTTAGGGCACAGTGAAGGGAATTTGGGGGTACAGTGGCAAATGATTTGATCAATTGTCAAGGATTATATATCCTGCAGGCTTGGTGGGTCAGGAAGAGGTTGAAATTCCATGTTAGGAACAATGGGAGCTCATTGAAAAGACTTAAGCCAGAAGAGTTATAAAATGAGATTTAAAAAGAAAGGGTTAATGATGCCTCGTGTAAAGGAAATCTTAATCCAGTTGGAGACCTATGATGCTCAACATCCTTGCCCTGTAAACAGAACACTTTAGAGATCAACACAGTTCAATTTAAATAGTATGTTGGGTGTCCACAGTGCCCCAGGCACTGCAGTGAGATAAAACAGTGCACAGATAAGCTTTCTTCCCTTGGAGAGATTTTGGCCCACTAGAGAATATAGGATCTGTGTTCTGTTAATTATAATAATGGGCCAAGTTCTGGGGTATGGATTTTCAAGGCTTTAATGTACTAGGATGATGGCGGGAGAAAACACTTTTGGAGACATCTACCTCAAAATCGTTGTCAGATGGTTATATGTAAGAGAGTCTTCTGGTTATGAGTAACAGAAAATTCAGCCAGAAAAGTATTGGCTCATAGGACAGAAGGTCCAGGAGGTGGGCTGATGTTAGACATGGCCTGGTCCTTGGCACACATCCATCAGATTTCAACAGGATCTATCCCTGGCTTTACTTCCTTGCACTTACCTCTGTTCTCTGGCTCTGTCCCTGCAAGTTCAATCTTTTGTCATCCCAACCCACAGCCCAGTGAAAGGCTCTGGGATTCATCCCATGCAAGCCCTGGGAATGCCTCTTTCCCTGGCTTAGATGGCACTATCTTCATTAAGTGGCTGAAGCTGGGATTGGGTGTCTCAGCCCTGGGCCACTGAGTTGCTCCATACCCAAAAACATGAAATGAAGACTGTTGCAACAGAATCAATGATAAGGTGCCTTCAGAACAACTCCTTAAAGGTACTGAATGGACAGAAACTGGTCAGAGCAACTGTATGGAGAGACAGTTGTCTGGAGAGGCTTGAATTGATATGTTTGTCAAGTGTAAAGAATAAAGAGGAGGACGAGGAGAGGGCATCGGAAAGCTCCCGAGTGTTGGGGTTTGGAGAAAAAGGAGCTATTGAATGAGAAATAAATGGGGTATTCAGATTCACCTGTTGAACCAGGTGAGCGTGGGTCGTGGAAGCCTGGAGGATGTCTGCTGAGAAGACATTATTGAAGTGGGCAGTTTGGACATTGCCGAAGACCCGGGAGAAAGCAGTTTTGTTAGAGTGCTGGGGAGAGGTGCCAGGGGGCCAGGAGTCAGGGAATAAGTGGAGTGTATTGGAGTGGTGTACACTGCCCATCATACACATTTGGAATGAAGAGGAAAAAGAAAAGATAGCAGCTAAGAAGCACAGAGGTCAGAGAATGCAGTTTGTAGGAGAGTTGATTTAGGTTCACTGATTGATGCAGGAAAGAAAGTGACAAAGTGTTGCAGAGAAAATGAAAAAAAGAAAAGGACCAAGGCTGTTCAGATAGGGAGCAGGTAGCCTAGGAAAGAAGTACTTGAAGTTTTAAAAGTATATTGACATATGATTGCTGTATAATAAACTCTGCAGATTGAAAATGTACAATTTGTTTTTATAAATGTATATACATGTGGAACCATTACTGCTATAAAGAAAATGAACATATTCATTATCCCCAAAGTTTTCTTTTGCCCTTTCATAATCTTTCCCTCCCCATCCTTTGCCTTATTCCCAGGCAACCAACTGATCTGCTTTCACTATAGCTTAGCTTGGGGTTTTTAGAATTTTATTTCAATAAATAAAACATCATGTGCTTTTTTTGGTCTGGCTTCTTTCACTCAGCATGGTTGAGTTTAGATTCATCCATATTGTTGTATGTGTCCACAGCTCACTCCTTTTCATTGCTGAGTGATATTCCATTGCATGGATATGCCACGATTTGTCTCTCTGTTTACCAGTGCATGAGTGTTTGGGTTGTTTTCCATTTTTGGCTGGTCACTAAAAATAAAGCTGCTGTGAATATTTGGAACCACTTTAATTTTGAAGCAGAAGAGAAGGAAGATTAACTGTGTGAGGACAGAGAGAAATCTTGAAGTCAAGAGTTAACATGAGGGGCCGGCCTGGTGGCGCACTGCGCTAGTGCACCGCTTGGGAAGCACGGAAGCGCTCCCGCCGAGGGTTCGGATCCCACATACAGACCGGTTCCCGCTCACTGGCTGAGCGAGGCGCAGGGGCAACACCAAGGGTTGCGATCCCGTTGCCGGTCCTGGTCCGGTACAGGGGCGACACTGAGGGTTGCAATCCGTTGCCAGATACAGAAAAAAAAAAAAAAAAAAAGACAAAAAAAAAAGAGTTAACATGAGGAGTTCATTCTACATTGCCTCCATTTTCTTACTAAGGAAGGTGCCTTCATCTACTGACAAAGAGTGAGAAATGTTTGGAAACAAGGAAAGGATTCTGGAACTTGGGCAAGCATGTCAGGAGTCTGCCTCAGACAATTCCTGGGGTTTCTGAATGTCAGTGGATGCCTGAATTTGGAGAATATGAACGTGTGGTGAAGCTGGTTAACTGGCTTCTTTGTCTTCTTCAGCAACGTTAAAGAGGGTTTTAAAGGAAAGATGGTCATTATACGCTGGAGCAGGTGAGCTTTGTGGCTAATCCTGAAGGAAGTTTTGGAACTTATATTCTTAACTGGTGCTGGGGAAGTACAGGAATCATAAGAGGGACCATCTTGTCTTCTGCTACACATGATTA